TTGGATTGGTATGATCAATGAAATTGATAATATAGAGCAGGATGTTATGGTAATGTTTATGCACCCGCACGGTCCTTTTAATAAACTTTTCTGGCCATCTAGAGTAGATGAGTGTTGGGTTCCAATTACCAACATAACTTGTATAATTGATGCACCTGTAACAACAAATAGACGTTTGTATACTTTGACCGTCGATGCATCTAAGCTAATCTTAGCATTATCTTGACAATTTCTTTTTTTTGTATTTTATTTTGTAAATAATGAAGTAAAACGGAACAAGCATAAAGCAATAAAATATTTGAATACAATATTTTCAAAATTATCTTAAATTTAAGACAAAAAAAAAAAAAAAAATTTTTTTTTTTTGTCTTAAATTTAAAAATAAGCGGGGCATGGTCCCCAGTGCTCCAGCCCCATGGACCTTCTGGTCATCTGACCTGAAACAATTTTAATGCATGTTCATCAGGACTACACAAATGCTGAGAGTTTCAAAGCTCCAACTAGTCTGGAAGATACTGAAAAATCCATCTCAAGATTCCAGTCAAAAAAGTGGGGCACATCCCTCCAGCCCCCTCTCCTAGTGTCTTGTACCCTTTTTTAATTTTAAAATGCACATTTATTGACACTACATAAATACCAAAATTTTCATTGTTCCAGCTAGTCTGAAAGGTAGTGAAAAATGTATGGCAAGATTCTGCTACAAAATAGTGGGGCCTGTGCCCCGTTAACCATATATGGAAATCCATATACTTGCAGATCAAAATTTTTATGTTTTCTGAAAGATCATTAAACATAGAATAATGAGTACAATTTTTTTTTTTATATCATCAAGGCCACATGGCTTTCTTGAGCATCAAAATCAGGTATATAAAAAATTGCCTAAATTTATTTAAATTGATAATTACAAGTACTTAAAAATATTTTTTTACATTTCTGATTATTTCATTGGATTCTTCGACCCTGAAAATAGCCAGATACAAATTTTTAAGTCAGAAGATCAAATATTTTTAAAGCTATGTGACTTGGAACCTTTAAACAAAGGTCACACTTCTATGGGGACAAGAGGGGTCTGGTTAAGATCAGTTAAAAGTAAAATGATCATATTTCATGATCCTCATGGATCTAGAAGCTCAAATTTTCAAGGATTTTTTGTTTTACTAAGTACTCTCAACTATATAAAAATCAGCAAAATCTGAGATGTATGGTGACATTTTTAAAATGTTCTGGCTCAATTGACATGGAATTACCCTATACCTAAATATTTACTGTTTTATTTTTATATTTAGAGCGTTTGTTATTTTCCACTACCATAATTGATACAAGTCGAATAAAAAAGTAGATAAGAATATATCAAAAACAAAAATATTTTTTGATATATCATTTTTTCGCAACTTTTTTCAGTCAGTATATTAAGGAATTACTTTATAAATTGCGCTAGAAACAATTTTCAAATTTATTTTTTAAATGTCTTTGCTAGACTTGTTTTTATCAATGCACAAGAAAGCGAGAAAACTAATTGCTATTTGTTTGTGAAAAAAAATTTTTTATGTAAAAATAAAATGCTGCAAAATTTTGTGGACTAGTTACATTGTTAATTTACTGAACTTTCTCAACAAACTTTTTAGGAGCTTGTTTAAAACTTTTGTTTAATTTTTTAAATACATTTTTTGAAACAGAGCAATTGATATGTTCATTATCTCTAGTAACTCGTATTAACATTGGAAATTGGGCAATATAATAGAAACAACTTCATATATGCATCAAATGCGTTAAATTCATTTGTTAAAGTAACTATGTTATTTATTAATCAAAAAATATTTTTTACAAATAAGTAACAATCTATTTTCTTATTTTCCTATTATATAATTATTGAGAAAAAATGTCAAATATAGCAAAAACCTTTTTAAAAGCAAAGTAACTTTAAAAAAAATGAATGAAATAAATGAATAAATGTAAGAAGAAAAAAAATTAACAAAATTTCTTATAGTTCAAGCGTACATAGCAAATTAATTTCTTAATTATATGGACTGATAAAAATTGTGAATAAATTGCATATCAAATCTTTCAATTATTGTTAAATTGTTATAAAAGATAATCTTTTTTTTCAACAGCAAAAAAAAAAATACAAAAGTTGTATAAAAATTTTATAAAAATTTTTTTTTTAATTTTATTTTTTTAATTAATAAATTTTCTAGTTTATTTAATTTAACTTGATATTTTGTTACAATTTTGTTTCCTTATTTAAGAATCGTTTTAAGTTTTTTTTAATTCTAAGTAAATAAGTTTAGCTTTTTGTCGTGAATTATAGAAATGGTTTATAAGTTAAAAGATGCAAACAACCATGGTCAGTGTGTCCAAAAAAAATTATTTAAGGCCTGGACGTACAAGGCGTGTGACCGCATGCTTTTCCCAGGAAGGCTTGATATATATATATATATTTTATATATATACACATACATTTTTTTTTTTAAACACTGGTCTGATTAATGTACTTTAGTACTTATTAAATGATATCAATACAAATAAGTTCTTTGAGTTAAAAACACTATTTTGTATTTAGGTTTTTTTATGTGCAATTAATTTTTGTGTAGAAAAATGTTTTCATATATAACCTTCTATGAAATATATAATAACCAAATAAAAATAACAACATCAAAAAGTAACACTAATTTATACTCTTTTTGTTTTAAAAACAAAGTGTGTATATATATATATATATATATATATATATATATATATATTTATTTATTTATTTATTGTGCCAAGTCTTCGAAAGTACCAATTTTTATTGAATATCTATTTTTATACTGAGAATAGAAAAATATATAAACTTATTAGAATAATTATATAAAATTTATATACTTATTTATGTAAGAACAAGTTGATATTAATTTATGTAAAAAAACTATAAAAACTCAAAAAACTTTTAAATTTTCTTAAATTTTATATCAGTTTAAATGAATTGGTGAATGTTAAAATGGCGAAAGTCCAATAATGTTTCAAAAAACTAAAAAAAAACTGCATTTTCCACCATAGTAAATTTTTGTTAATGGTTCAATAATTTTTTTTGAAGGTAAATTTTCGAAAAAAAAATTACTAAACCATTAACAAAAATTTACTTCGTGGAAAATAAAGCTTATTTTAGTTTCAAGAAAGTTTTCATAGTTAGAATTTTAACATCTGCGATTCATATCAGGGTACAGTTTTAAAAACATTTTAATTAATTAAGAACAAAATCAAGCTTGTGCATTTTTCCTCTAATTAATCATTGACATTGTTTAGTAGTATTATTTTTACTTATGCCACAAAAATGAACTAATTTAAGTAAAGAAAAGCTTTTTTTAACATAGTTACTTTAACAAATGAGTTTAACGCATTTGATGCATATATGAAGTTGTTTCTATTATATTGCCCGATTTCCAATGTTAAAGTTAGTGTTAAAGTTAATGTTAAAGTTAGTGTAATTTAAAGAGTTAGAGTCTTTAAAGAATTGGCTTGAAATTGAATTCTAAAGAAATGTAAACGCTTCGCTAATGAAGTGTTCGTATCTCAAGATTAGAAAATTGTTTTAAATTAAAACATCATTTAAATTAAAACATTTCTTTATAAATTTTTTTATAAATTTCTTTATAAATTTCTTTATAAATTTCTTTATAAATTTTTTTAAAAATTAAATAAGAAATTAAAGCTTTAAAAGTAGTTTTTTTATTTAATTTTCATTTTTTTTTCGTTTTCAAAGTGTTTTTAACGCTCTTAATTGAGTAAGTATATTTTATTGATTTTCTTTTTTTTATATAAAGTAATCTCATTATTGCTAATTTAATTGTATATTATTTTGTAAAATTTTTTGAAGAAATAATGGAAAAGAGAAAACTTTCTGGATAGGAATTTTTAAAAAATGGCTACGAAAAGAGGAACTATTGAAATAAAATCAAACATCTTAAAAAAAATATCTCTTGAAAACTCATCATGATGAAATAGCTGACAAAAGTCCAATAATTCAAGATGGTTGGTTATGGAAATGGAAGCAAATCAATTGATTCTTCTAACCCAATTTGAACTATTCAAACAAATAAAGGATTGATTGAAACTGCTGCTACTTAAGAATGTTTTGACTATATTAGTGATTGGCAGGAAAATTTAAACAGTGATTTTAATCAAAGTGCTGTTATCAAAGGATCTAACAGTTTCAGATTCTAATAACTATCCAAAAAATTTTGATAACTTTCGTTTTTCAAATCATCTTTTTTACCGCATCATGGATAATGGTGAAAAGTATCATATAGCGTGATTAATTTATTCGAAAAAAGCAAACAAGTTTTTTTGTTTTTGCTGTAATTTTTTTTTTATACCCTATAATGTTAGCTCAAAATTTTCTTAACGAATGGCACCATATTTCATGAATTTTATAAAAACACAAAAAAAGTCTTGATCATTTTGACTGCCACAGCAAGTGGGTGAGTCTAAAAAATAAATTACCAAAAGGAATCTTAAAATTAAGGATAAAAACTTAATTAAAGAAATGCAGCATTCGACAATTTTATGAAATATTAATTTCCTTAACTATTATGATGGCAAAGTCTACCAATCAGAGACTCTTGTGGCAAATCTATCAAGATAATAATGGAAACATTTTGTAAAATTTTGGAGTTTTCTGCAAAATTCGATCCAGTTATGGAATAACATTTGTTTAGAGCAAAAAAAAAAATTAAATCTTGCACTATCTGGCAAAAGATGAAATCATCGACTTAAGGCAAATCTATTATAACAAAAACTTGTCAAAATGTCTAAAAGTCCATGTATTTTTCAATCATTATTGATTGTACGCCTGATATCAGTCACCAGGAGCAAATGTCAATACTGGTCCAATATGTAGACATAAAAAGTAAGAGCGAAATTCACATTAATTAAAGTTTTCTTGGATTTCACTTAGTTGAAGGTTCAACAGGACTTAAATTATCAAATATGGTTGTTGACTCTCCGGAAAAAAAATAATTTACCTCATCAATTCTGTAAAAACTCTTCAGTTTGAAATGCCAAAAATTTATGAAGCACTGCAAGATGTGGCTAGGACCGCTAATGAAAAAGTTTTATTAAAAATTAATTTAACAAGCAAACAACTTCAATCAACAAATATTTCAGAGGCTTTAAAGTCAATGAGAAGAACAATTTTTTTTTTTAAAGAAAAATTACAACCAGGAAAACTTTGAGTCTGTTACTTGTATTGCAAAAGAACTTGCCACTTTTTTAAAGGCAGAAGAAAATTTTTAAGCAGAATCTGTTTCAAGAATAAAAAAAAGCAAGGGTTTTTTGATAAACCTGAACAAAATGTGGAAAAATAATCATGTTTAAAAGAAAAGTATAAACAAAATCTTATTGCATCATGTTAGAAAGTAAACTAGCGGAAAATAGAAAAAATGATATTTCTGGCATGGAACTAAGTTTTAAATTAACATCTCATTTTTCTCTTTTTACTGAAAATTTAGATCCTGAAAATGCTTTAAAATATTTGTACGCAAACGGTTTGAGTAAAATCTACATGAATGTATCTATTGCATTGAGAATTCTTCTCACATTACCGGTAACAGTGGCTAATGCCAAGAAATTTTTTTCGAAAATTAAAAATTATCAAAAGTTATTTACGATCAACCATAAAATAGCTGCTGATTTAAATATTGACGATTTACGGTATTCCTACTCTTCGATTTCAAGTCAAACCTCATTCTACTCCATATTTTTCACCATCTTTAGCAGTTGCTTTAATAATCATTTATTTCATTTATTTTACAAGAACATCTCTCTTAAGATCAAATGTCATTTTATTATTCCAAGAAACCCATGTAAAAAGCTCCTGTTTGATGTTAAGCTCTGTCATTCTCAGTTTACTGAATCTTGTATATTATATCAGATGTTAGGTTCTAGAGACTTTTGGTTAGTCTAACATTTTATCTTTTAAATGTTAGACTTAATTATATAATAATTAATATTTAATTTTTAAAACGGGCTAAATAAATGGTTCCTATTTTTCAAAACTCTAGAAAACACTTTGACCTCTCCAACTATCCTACAGTTAGTCTTCTTTCTGTTATTAGTTTCTTTATATAAAGATTTTGAGATTATTAAATTATTTCTTACTAACTGCAGTAATAAAGTTATTCTTGAAGGCCTACACTCTTCTTTATTTCAAGTAACTTTAAAGGTCTCACAAGATGTTAAGCTCTGTTATTCTTCTCTGTTATTCTCTCTGGTCTTCTCCATAAGCTTTCTTCTTACGGTGTATCTGGAAACATCTTTAAGATTATTGAATCCTTCCTTTCCAATCGTAGTATAAAAGTTGTCCTTAATGGACAGCACTCTTCTTATTCTGTAACCTCAGGGGTTCCTCAAGGTTCAATCCTTGGCCCTATACTCTTTTTAATTTACATTAACGATCTTCCAGATATTCTCACATCTAAGGTGGCATTGTTCGCTGATGATTACCATTTATTCTTGTCACGATAAGAAGCCTCTTCACAATAAGAAGCCCTCTGATTGCTTGCAGGGGGCATCTGAGCTTGAAAAGGATCTCACTTCTGCTACAGCATGGGGCTCACAGTGGCTGGTGAACTTGAATTCAGATAAAACTCAATTTTTTTCAGCCAATCATTATCGCAATAATTTAGACCTTCCTATATTTATGAACTGTAATGTACTTGATGAGTCTCCTACCCTTCATCTTCTAGGATTAACTCTTACTTCTGATCTTTCTTGGAAACCTTATATCAAATCTGTTGCAAAATTAGCATCTGCTAAAGTCCCTTCTTTTTATCAAGCTCGTCACTTTCTTACTCTGGATTCTATTCTCTATTTTTACAAATCTCAAATCCGGTCTTGTATAGAATACTGTTGCCATATCTGGGGCGGATCTTTTAATGATGCCCTTTCTCTTTTAGACGAGATGCAAAAATGCATTGTAAACATAGTTGGACCTGCTCTTGCAGCCAACTTTTAACCATTATCACATCGTCATAATGTTGCTTCTCTTTTTCTTTTCTACAAATACTATAAAGGGCACTGCATTAAAGAGCTAGCGTCTCTTGTGCGATCTACTAAAATTCATTCTTGTGTTACTCGTCATTCAATTGAGTCTCATCCTTTTTCTGTTACTGTTCCTAAGTGCTCCAAAAACTCTTATTCGTCTAGTTTTTTTCCTCGAACACCACCTTTGGAATTCGCTTCCTTCATCTTGCTTTCCTGATTCATATAATTTGCAATCTTTTAAGTCGTCTGTCAATCGTTATCTTGCTCTACAATCTTCATTTTTTCTCTTCCAGTAATTTCCAACACTAAATAGTGGTTGCTTGCAGCCTTGTTGGAAGCAAAGATTTCAAAAAAAATAAAAAAAAAGATATCTTCTGGTACCTTTAATCCTTTGCTCCTGTAATGTTTCTTATCTACAATATCAATCTTAATGAAAGTTTAACATCTAAAGTGGCTCTATTTGTTGACGACTCAACTTTATACTCTTGTCTTGACAAAAAAAATTTCACTTTTTGATTGCTTAGAACAAGCAGCTGATTTTTAATCTGATCTCTCTTCTGTAACAGCCTTCTGTAAGGCTTGCTGTGGCTTATGGATTTAAATTCTGGACTTGAAATCTGCAATTTTTGTTGGACAACAAAACTCATTTATTTACTGCAAAAAATATTGCAATAATGTTGGTATTTCTATATTGATGAATAACAACCATTTATAAATCACTTATTTACTGCAAAACATATTGCAATCATGTTTTTCTTTTATATACAACCTACAACTTTTCAAGTCTTCAGTTAACCATTTCCTAGTATTTTTACTTATTCTCTATTTTAAAGTAACTCATAATATAATAGGGGTTGCTTGCATGTACTATTTGTCAGTATTATATTTCATAAATTATACTGACAGTATACTGAGTTCATAAGTTTATATTTATCAGTCCGTCCAATCTAATCACAAACATATATATATATATATATATATACATATATATATATATATATATATATATATATATATATATATATATATATATATATATATATATATATATATATATATATATGTATGTATGTATATATATATATATGTATGTATATATATATATATATATATATATATATATATATATATATATATATATATATATATATATATATAATTTTATAAACATCAATGAATACGATTTTCTCTCAGTACTTAATTTATTTTTTAAAAGAAAGCTGAAGATGCTGATCGCAACAATCCAGCAAAAATTTCTTTTAAAAAATTTCTCTTAAAAATATTACTTTAAAAAAAATTTCTTTTAAAAAATTGAAAAATAAATTTAGTATCGAGAGTAAATAGTATTTATTTAAAATAATAATTTACATTCTCTCATACATAATGTCTATATTCAAATATATATATATATATATATATATATATATATATATATATATATATATATATATATATATATATATATATATATATATATATATATATATATATATATATATATATATATATATATATATATATATATATATATATATATATATATATATATATATATATATATAGAGAAGAGAGAGAGAGAGAGAGAGAGAAAGTTAAAATGATGAATAATGAAAATATGTATAAAATAATTGAAATTCTGTATTGATATAAATGACATAAGATATTTTCAATTAAGATTTAAATATTTTAAGATAAAATCTTATATTTTTAGATTAAAAAATGTTTGAAGAAATACTAGATATAATCTGGGATGAACATTTCTGGCTTCCAGTTGAATTCAGTTGGGATGATTTTAAAAAAACGGACATTGTTCGTCCACAGCTATCAGATCTCTACATTATACCATTAATTACGATTTTTTTTTTGATCATTAGGTTTGCTTTTGAAAGGTTTATTGCTGTACCAATATGTAAAGTTTTACGCATAATTAAAGTTAAATCTGATGCTAGTAAATTATGCGAAGAGATTTTTATAAAGACTACTCAATATCCTTCTGACATTTTGATGTCTGAGATTAGTGTTCAAACAGGATGGAGTATACAAAAATGTAGCAGATGGTTTAACAAACGAAGAAAGCAGAGTACTAAAGCATCTTTGGTTAAAAAAAGTAAAGAAAGTTGTTGGCGGTGTTTTGTGTACATATGTTTTTTTGCTTATGGAAGTTACATTCTTATTCCAACAGGTTGGATTTGGGATATAAAACTTTGTTTTGTTGGTTTTATCAAACATCAGGAACTACCTCTTGAATTTAAGTGGTACTACATACTAGAAACATCATTTTATACCTCGCTACTTTGTTCCCAGTTTACTGATACTAAGCGTAAAGATTTTGTTCAGCTTTTTGTACATCATATTTTAACTATTACCTTATTGAGCGGATCCTATATAATTGGACACTTTAGAATTGGTTCTATAATTATTTGGTTGCATGATGCGGCTGACTATTGGTTGGAAGCAGCAAAGGTTGCAAACTATGCAAAGCACCAGCGTGTATGTGACACACTTTTTGTGGTGTTTGCATTGACATTCTTATTAACTCGTTGGATTTATTTTCCTGTTTGGGTTTTGTATACATGGATGAGATACAATACCGAACTAGCTGGTCATCTTCGATCATTTTTTACAGCTCCTTATATTTTGCTTGGAGCTTGTTTTGTTTTATTTGGTTTGCATTTATTTTGGGGTTATTTAATTGGCAAAATGGTATACAAGTTTAGAGCTGCCGGAAAAGTGGAGAAAGATGATAGAAGTGACGATGAGCAAAGCAATTTAGAGAGCGATGATGGAGATAAAAATTTAGTTATGATAAATAACAGTATCAACAAAATTGATTAGAATGTTAAAATATAGATAAAAAATTTTAAAATCAAAGTAATATTTTTATGTTTTTTTTTTAATATTTTAAGTTATTTATATAAATCGGCATACCTTGAATTTTTTTTGTATTATTATTATATTTGTCATAGGGTTTCATTGTGCCATTGTTCGATCTTTTTTTTTTTTTTTTTTTATAAAAGTCTCACAGTTCAGTTGTTTTGTTATGAAAAGTGTATTAGGAATTTCAAAATGTTTATGTACTCTTTGTAACATGTGATTTAAAGAGAATGTAAATATTTGTTAGAATGTTTTTTCTATAAACGATTATATTTTTTGTAGGAAGACAAATGAAAATCCTTTTTGAAACATTAAAAAGTATATTAAAAACATTTAACAATACGGTTTATAGTGTATTGGTATTAGCAAGAACTAAGTAATATTTTGAAGGTATCTTAGTGTTCTCCCTTTCCATTATTTCTTTATTGACTAATATGTTTACTCGATGTTTTTGCGTTGTTGATTGGCTATTTAAATCAGTCGATGAAATTTTTGTTTAGTTAATGCTGTGTTAATATTATAATTACATAGTGTAATAATGCTTCTGTTATTACTGTGATAACATATAGTGTAGATGTTTGAGGTTGCAACGCAAAATAATAATTTAATAGTACCAATGTGTTAAATTCTTCTTTATTTCTCCCTAGAGAATTAAGCAAACGTTAACAAAAATTCAATCCAGTTTTGTTTTTCTAATTTTAAATAAGTATTCTTTGTTGTCATATTTATTGCGTTATTCATAGCATCGTTGGTGGTTTTTTATATTAAACTTTATTAATATGAATTACTAAAATTAATTTAAAATTAAACAGTTTCAAGAAAACCTTGAAATAAAGTTCTAATTTTTAATATTACCATCATACAAACCTGGTGTTTCTTAGATATGACGAAACTTAAATTCGACTAAAATTGACAAAATGTAAATTCGTAATAATAATGAATGCGGTAGTGGTATAGTGGTAGAGCGCTCGCTTCTTAAACGAGTGGTACCGAGTCCGATCCCCACCAGGGAGCGCGGTACTACCAGTCCCTGGTAGTACCGCGCTCAACTCGCTTTTCCGCGCAGCAGCCTTGTTCATCAAGGTTCGTGTTTCGGAGTTATAGAGTTGAGGGAGGGTCATAACCAATAAGTAGCCTCCTCGTCTGTAGTGGCCTTCTCGGCCTTGAGGAGGTAAATTAAAAAATAATAATAATAATTTTTTTATATTTCATAATAATAAGGAATAATTTTTCTTAATTAGGATTTTTTTTTTTTTTTTTTGAATCATAAGCATCAGGTTCTATAGAAAAAGTTCTATAAGTTTAAAATTATTTGTAAATAATACTCAAGAGCTCCGTCGATAAGCGTTGATTTGACAAGGTTTAAACTAAAAATTTTTATATTAGGAGAATTTAGAAAGTTTAACTTTTTCTTAATGTTTAATTAAAATTATTTATATTATTGCTTTTTTTTTATTGTTTATGTACTCTTTTTTTGATTGATGTATAAAAATTCATAAATAAGCAAAAAACTATTATATAAGTATTTTCATTTAGACAATATTAAAAAAAAAAAAGAAGCGATTTCTTTGCTATTCTTCTAATACGAAAAAAATCATTTAGAACCTTGTCAAACCAACGCGTCGAAAAGTTAAAACCATTAAAATGTCTATAGGTTTATACAATGTAATGTATAATAGACTTTTACCGTTGGTTGTTAAAATTGGACATTATTTTCCTATTCATCGTGCTGCAGTCGTTTTTCAAAACGCTTAAATGTAAAAAAAAAAATTTTTGACTTATTTACAAAATAAGCTAGTTTAGATGTCTAAAAACGTTATTGAATACATATTTCCAAAGAGTTCTAAAAAAAATCATAAAAACTATTCGTTTCAAAAAACGTTTTACAAAAAGTTTCAATAATTTTTTTTTAATTGCTTTTTCTCGAAATACGTAATAAGCATATTAAGGCGTTTTGAAAAACGGTTGCAACCTATATAAATGATAAATTCAAAATTTCTTTTACACTTTTGATGATACAAAAAAGTTAACACGTGCAAATTATTTCAATGTATTATAAAAAGCAACCCTAGTTAGCATTACCACAACAGATCGGTCACGTGCTTTTTTTTATAGCACATTTATTTTTAAAAAATGTAAAACTTATCTTGTTCTCTTCCTTTTTGCATGTCTACCTCAATACCATAGCATCGTACTTAACAAATAAAGTCAGAACGTTCGCATATCAAAAAACAAATTAATTTCATTCAACTCGTTAAAACGTTAATCGACGTTGCTTAAGGTTTTTTTTGTAATTAATGTTTTTTGTTTGTCTAGTGTCGGAAATAAGTATTTGTTGTCAGCTTTTCTGTTTTCGTATTTATGATATTCTGCTGTTTTTTTTAATATATTTGAAAAATGTTTTTAATTCTCTCAATCTTCAGCTCTCATTTTACATGTGTAATTTTTTATTGGTTATTTTTTTTTTACATTAGTTATATGTTTGTTTGTTTTATTTTTCAATTTATTGTTGTTGTTTTTTTTAGAAAGAAAATATGATTTACTGAAGTGTATTTTTTTCTTTCTGTTTATTATTTTGTTTAAATATTGACTGTGGTTAAAGTTTATTTAAAAGCTTTTTTTCAAAGTTTTGAAATAATTTTCTTGTGTTTGAAGTTGTATTTTATTTAGATTTTCTGCAGTTCTTTCTAAATAATAGACTTAAAAACTTAGTTTCTAATATTCACTTAGCGGTTGTTTTTTTTACAATTGTGGTTAGTGAGATTTTTAATATAACACCACTGCTGCGAGTTTTTCTTACTTATGCAGTAAGTAAATTGTGAGAGGCGGCGGGTTTAAGGGGTGAAGTGGCGTGTGTGACAACCCCCAAAAAACGCAACCCCAAAAAAAAAATTTATCGCTGGTTTTTAAGGAATATAGTCCGCATTTAACACATTTCAGTCGGCAGATTATTAGTTTTGAAGACTTTTTTTAAAAAAATTTTAAAGAAAAAATATCTCTGTTACATAATATAATATTGATTTATCAGCCGCAATTTTGTTTTTATGTATAATTTTTGTTTTATTTTTTAAAGATATTCACAATCCAAGAAGAATTTTTGTATTTTAGACGAAGTTTTATAAATTTTATTATAAATAGAAAAAAGTTTTTATAGAGACTCTATAAAAACTTGAACTTACTAATTTTATCTAACAAAAAAAGAAAAAAAAAAGTTTTGAAAATTTGGAATGCTTAACTGAGGCCTAAACTGTTTTCAACCAATCGTATTATTATATTTTTTTACCGAATTATAACCTTTTCATATTCGAACAAACTACTTTTCAACCAATTTTATATTCAAGTTTCATATTCAAAAAATATTAGATGGTTTGATTTTTAAAGCAATTATAGATGATTTTCATGTCAACAGACTAGTCCATATTTTTATTTTTTTTTTAATTTCGCTCTAAGGATACAGCGGTCGATAGTGTATTTGTATATTAACTGGTATATATTATAGTAGCCGTCGTGCAATGGTTAGAATTTTAGTTCAAAACCAGGTTCGTTGGTTTGATTTTCTTAAAGTATCATAATAACTAAATTTTAATATATATATATATATATATATATATATATATATATTTATATATATATATATATATATATATATATATATATATATATATATATATATATATATATATATATATATATATATATATATATATATATATATATATATACACCCACACATATATATACACACACACATATATATATATATATATATATATATATATATATATATATATATATATATATATATATATATATATATATATATATATATATATATACATATATATATATATATATATATATATATATATATATATATATATATATATATATATATATATACAGGGCCGCCAAGAGGAGGGGTATACGTGCCTCGGGCGCCAAGATAATAGGGGCGCCAAAAAACAAAAAAACAAAATAACTTGATTTTAATTATAAAAAATAAAAATAGTTGTTTGCATTAATAAGTTATAAAGTAAGTTTAGTTAATGGTACATATAGCAATTAACTTTGCTTTAATTATATTACCAAAGAATTTTAGTTTTAAATAATAAATCTCTTTCCGTTGGTTGGTAAGGACCAATCATTTATTTTTTATATAGAAGACACTGAAATAGAAACTAGATGGTACCTAAAAACACATTGTCACACAACAAACTCTTTATAAGAACGATGCTTATAGCATGAGTCTTATGAAAGAGTCGTTGTGTGGCAACGCGTTGAATGCTTGGGCAAATTTTATGTAAGTCAGGTGTCCAAGGTAAACTGATTTTTTTTTTTTAATGACAAGGAATTTAACCATGTTTGTAAGACATCCTTTGTGATGTACAAATTCATGCTATATATGGGATTTGAGGTCATTAAACTGGATCACTGGTTAGCAAGCTATTAGACAACAAGAAGTAATAATTAGAGAATAAACATCCAAGTAGGAATTGGTGATAAGTGACGTCCCTCAAGGATCAGTTCTTATATCATTGCTGCTTGTGTACTTAATTAATGACTTACTAGACTGCATTTATAATCATACTGAAATATACGCAAATGACGGCAACGTCACATAAGTTATCAATGTCAATCAATTTTTCTCTGATTATAAAAAACTGTAAGCGAACATCGACAGTGCTGTACGTTGGTCCACAGAAGTGCAAAGTAATGCAAGTTGGTTATTCCAAAACCTAATTAAAAAACCATAGCATTAGGCAAGACCTTGAAGCACTAATATTTAACAAAATATAGTATATATATATATATATATATATATATATATATATATATATATATATATATATATATATATATATATATATATATATATATATATATATATAGTAGTTATATAGTAGTAAATATAATAGCACAAAAGTACAAGTAGAAGCAGCAGCTTGGGTTGGCAATTTAATACTCGGTTGTCTCAATTTGGTGTCGAAGCTCTCCAGCTTTGGAAAAAAACTGTATCAAGTGTACATTTAGTATCGCATGTAGAAATTTGTGTATGCCTGGTCATCTCAAAAATTTCTCTACTCGAACGCGTCCAAAAACGTGCAATATCGTTAATTAAACATTTTATTTACAATCAAAAACTAAAATTAATTGGTTTAACACACTCAAAAAAATGCAATGACCTCATACTGAAATACAAAATTGCTTTTCATTTACAATAGGTTGATTATTATATTTTATAACTA